CCACACCTGGTTAGACCAGAGGATGCACAGAGGTACAGATGGGAACTGGAAACACAGGGAATCTAGGACAAATGATCACAGGACCAGCAGTGAGAGTGGCGATACCAGGAGGGAAGAGAGGGTAGAAAGGGGAAATCGATCACAAGGATCTACATATAACCTCCTCTCTGGGGGACGGGCAACAGAAGGGTGGGTGAAGGGACACGCCAGGCAGTGTAAGATAAGATATAATAATAATTTATAAATTATTAAGGGCTCATGAGGGAGGGGGTGCGGGGAGGGAGGGGAAGGGGGAAAAGGAAAATTCGGAGCATATTCCAGGAACCCAAGTGGAAAGCGAATTTTGAGAATGATGAGGGCAACAAATGTATAAGTGTGCTTTACACAACTGATGTATGTATAACTTGTGATGAGTTGTATGAGCCCCAATAAAATGAATTTTTTTAAAAACTTTTTACCATCAATGTTTGTTGCACTGAACACAAATTTTATGCTAGAAACATAAACTGAATCATTGATGGTCTAATCAAACAAAATCAGAGTGAGAACTCGCCATTTGGTAAAGCTCCTTTAGTAGTAACCCAGCATAAATTTGTTTATTTGGAGTCCTGGTGGTACTGTGGTTCTGAGTTGGGCTGCTAACCACAAGGTCAGCAGTTTGAAACCACCAGCCACTCCAAGGGAGAAAGCTGTTCCACTCCATGAAGAGTTAGTCTCAAAAACCCACAAGGGCAGTTCATGCCTGTGACTTGGAATTGACTAGATGGCAGTGAATTTGTTTTGTTTTGTTCCTGAAGAATCCAATTCCCAAAACCACTCTTCAACCCAAGGATCCCTAAGCTTTTTCCCCATCATCCATTTGTTCTCCTGGCCCACTCCAACTAGAAGCACCCTTCCCCATCTCTGCCTATTCAAACTCCACTCATCCTTCCTGACTCAACTCCAACCGTCTTCTAAGAAGCCACCTTTATCTACTGCACAGGGTGTGGTTACAACAAAGAAGCGGGACCCAAGACTTTCAACCTCTAACTCATTGCAAGTTCCCTGAGAGTATAACAGTTCTCTTACTCCGTTTTAACGAATCCCAGAGTAGCTTTAACACAGTTGGCACAAATGAAATTTTCTTCCCATTTGTTCAAAATACTACCCTAATCTCAACTAAGGGCTAATAACTTTAACCTGCTTTCTTCTACTAACTGTAATTGAGAACGTAAAAAAAAAGTCTTTGAGAGTAAAGCAATGAATTCATGTTAGCTACTGGCTGTTCTTACAATTCTTACTGAAATTTCAGTTCTCAGCTTGGATCCTTGGTTCCCATGTACTCAAGGAAGCCTCCTTTGTTCCAAACCATAGCTAGAAATCCTTCCTCTGCTCTGCCATGTTACTCCCCCCACCCACCCCCATACAGTCCTCACTAAACTCTAGAGTCATTCCTTATTTACTTGCTCGTGCCCCTCGGGACTGTAGGTTGTTGAGCTACATCTCTTGTCAATCAGAGCATATCCAGCATTTTACTACAAAACAAAATCTGACACACAACAGTTGCACAGTAAGTACTTGTTAAATGAAGGTAATTTAAAATGTAACAGCTAGTACTTTTAAAGCATACTTTAAATGCCATTTTAGAAGCAACTCCCAGAAGTTACTTATCTTTGTTTCAGCGATGCTGTCAAGAGTGAGCATTACACAATGACTACCTGATTTTGAAAAGATAAAGCTTCCAGGATAAGCAGCAAAAGTTTGACAGTTTCTGGCTATACTTAAATGATTATTAACCCAAAATACCAAGCCCATTGTCATCAAGTTTATTCCAACTCATAACAACCCTGTGGGATAGATTAGAACTGTACCAGAGAGTTTCAAAATCTGTAAATCTTTACAGAAACAGATGGCCGCTTCTTTCTCCCACAGAGTGGCTGATGGATTCAAACCACCAATCTTCCATTAGCAG